GTGGAGAGCGCTGCAGCTACCCCGCGCTTTCCGCGCAGAAAACTTTTGCCCATTTGTCAAGCAAAGACTTGTGTAAACTTGGAATGGCTCAAATGAACACCTCCAACACGGCATTCCTATATGGTTTTACGACTGTGACTGGCGTTGAAAGTGAGGCCGCTGTAGCGACACGCTCGTTGGTGCTGTCGCTCGGCCGTTTATCATGGCGTTTCGATCATGCTGCATACAAGTGCGACTTATGGACGTCATCCGAAGAAGGCTGTGAGGTACTGTACCACCAGCTTGGTGACGGTGATCGCCACTTGGTACTGCCCAAACAGTTGCTCCCATCTCAACTCCAAAGTGGCAGTGCAAGATCTCCCGTCTCTCTTGTTCAGCTCTTAGAGCCCAAAGTAAGAGTTGTCCCCGGACAAACGTCGTCGTTTGCGACATTGGAGCACTTAGAGTCGTGGCCACGGGACAGCACGCACAAGTGCTCGTCAACGGTGGATACGTATCTCCAGTACGTCGACAGCAACCATTTCTACATGAATGGCAATCTGGTGGATACGATGACAGCATCTGCGCTGCTGTTTATTTTCCAAAACGCTCGAGTATTGGATCACGCACCAGGCATGGACATCATGATGACACAAAGACGACTTGTTGATACCTCACAACGACGGGTAAAGGTTTTTTTGACAAATACCAAGGTAGGCAACGTGTGTACGTGGACGGGGTGTGGCGTGCTGTTGCTCTTGACAGTCTTGGTCCTCGTGTTGCCCAACGAGCGGGCTCGACTTTCACCACCGCGTGGAGGCAATGCACGTGCTGAGAGATTCGTGGCCAGTGCAGACGGAACAGATTTACCCCAATCTAATCTATAAGAAGCGCTTCCTGATCGGCAAGACTGGTGAGGAGATCAAATTCGGCGAGTTTGCCGTCGAGTCGGTCGGACTGCACCACAAGATGGAAGAAGACGAGCAGATCTACATTTGAGTTGCTAATTGTTTTCCACGAAGTAAAATAGGAGAAATTGTTAATGCGTAATTTCACCTGGAGGCTGCAGGGAAATTGTAGTTGAAAAGCTTGTTGCAGAGGCATTGCGAAAGCGCGGCCAAACCGACGACTCCATCAATGACAGTGGTGCCAGCCTCGTTCATTGCTTACGCTAAAAATATGTTGACCACAATGCGAGCGATTTTTTTAAAGCTGTGCGCCAACATTCCCAGTGTGTAGAGAATAAGGTAAATTCGGATCGCGTCATCAGTTACATGTACATACATGTATGTGGTAAACAGAAGCGAAACGGTGATGATTGCCACACTCGAGTGCTAAATCAGTCTTGTGACCGACGCCAGCAACTCATGTAGCATTCTTTAAATCTCCTCAACTAGCAAGGTCGACAGCAGCAAATTTAGCTCATCGTTTATCATGGCGTCCAAGCTCTTCTCTGCAGTGAAACTTGGTGGCAAGAAGGCGCCGACCCAATTGAAACACCGCGTGGTGATGGCACCCATGACCCGTCAGCGTACGGGGAACGACGGGGTACCTGGAAATGCCGTAGCCGAGTTCTATAGACAACGCGCTACTGATGGCGGCTTACTGATCTCGGAGGCCACCAACATTAGTGCCTACGCTCGCGGTTACTACGGAGCTCCAGGTCTTTACACGCCGGAGCAAGTAGAAGGCTGGAAGGCCGTGACATCCGCAGTGCACGACAAAGGTGGCAAGATCTTCAACCAGTTGTGGCACACAGGCCGCATCAGTCACCCCTTGAACCTTCCGAACGGAGCCCAACCTGTCTCGGCTAGCGCGACGAACATGGAGGGCGTGCAGAGTCTCGCCACCACTATCGAGGGTCGTTTGCCTCACCCGAACCCCCGAGCTCTCGAGGTCAGTGAGATCCCAGGCATCGTCGATGACTACAAGCGTGCAGCCGAAAACGCTTTGGAGGCAGGCTTCGACGGTGTGGAGCTTCACGCCACGAACGGTTACTTGCTGGAGCAGTTTCTGCTGAACGGAACGAACCAGCGCACGGACCAGTACGGCGGTAGTCCGGAAAACCGCGCACGTATCGTGTTCGAGGCGATCGAAGCCATTCTATCTTCGGTGGACTCGAACAAGGTGGGTATTCGTTTGTCCCCGTTTGGCACGTCATTCGGTTGCACCGACTCGAACCCTCGCGAGATCTACGACTACGTCGTGAAGAAGCTAAATGATTACGACCTGGCCTATCTTCACATGGTTGAACCGCGAGGCATGCAGCAGCCAGCGCCTGACGCACCGGAGGGAGGCGTAACCAAGATTAACCGCAAGATTTACAACGGTGTGATGATCAGCGCATCTGGCTATGATGGTGCTGAGGCTCGCAAGGTGGTTGAAGACGGAACGACGGACCTAGTGGCATTCGCGCGCGACTTCATCTCCAACCCGGATCTTGTGGAGCGCATTCGTACTGGTGCCGAACTCAATCCGGTTAACTGGCAGACAATATACGTGCCGCTCGATGTGCCGTTCGAGACGGGTTACACGGACTATCCGTTCCTTAACGAGAAGACTGCCTAGGCATCCAGACTGCCTGCCTCCACGCAGATGAATGAATCATAGGTAGATTTTCCACCTATTTCAGCATTTATTGCATTCTTGAAAAATCTGCGATTATTCTGTACCTGTAAGCTCAGTACACGGGAATGATCCGGTTAGCCTGATGGACCAGTGCGTGGTTAATCTTGCTGCGAGCTTGCGGACTTTTTCATGGCGGACTTGCTGCGGATAATGATGAAGAAGCCACTGCACAACCTCCACATGCTCATTGATGGCAGCGTTCACAACTGCGTCCGATGTACAGCCGTCTGAACGGTGAGAGTACAAGAACATCATCACCTCCAAGTGCCCTCCAGCTGCTGCTCCATCCATTGCTCGGAACGTGCCTCCTTCACGGCGATTCGCATGCAGCCATTTCACCATTTGCAAGTGGCCGTTTGCTGCAGCACCATTTAGAGCTGCAGCCGTACAGCTCCCAAACTCTGGAAGACGGTGATGAAACCACTTCACCACGTCTAAATGCCCACCACTCGCAGCACGATCCATTGCGTCAGAAGCGATCCCTTCGGACTCACAATTTCTAGTACATTGTTCGTAAAGGCACTCTACCGCGTCTAAGTGACCGTTGGAGGCCGCGTTCTCCAGTGCAGAGCGAGAAAAGCTGCAAGTATCAGAGCAATGAGCAATAAGCTAGCGCATCACAGCCACATTTCCGTGGCTGGCAGCCTCATTGACTGCGTCTTGGGTGCAGCCCTCGGTACGATGGTCATATAGCCACTGAAGTACATCAAGATGGTTACCTCGAGCAGCTCCGTTCATAGCGGCAGCGGTGCAACCCTCTCGTCGGTTTTTGTGGAGCCATTTCACTACATCGAGTTGACCGTTGCTCGCTGCTCCATCCATTGCCTTAGTTGTACAGCCCTCACCCCGGTTCTCATGTAACCACTGAATGACGTCCATGTGACTGTGACTTGCTGCGTTGTCGAAGGCCAGTGTTAAGCATCCATCAGTGCGATATCTGTGCAGCCATTGCACAATCTCAAGATGACCGTGGCCCGCTGCTGCGTCTATTGCCTGCGTCGTACACGCACCGCCGTGTTCAAACCCCCATCGCACTGCCTGAAGGTGCCCCTCTCCAGCCGCTTCATCCAGAGAAAGCGGTCCATCTATCGAAGACACGACGCCAGCCAGATATTCGATAACTTCAAGATGACCTCTTGAAATTGCACTTTGGGCGGCGCTTGCCACAGACAGACGCACAGAATCTGCTCCGACTGTGTCTACGACCCACGACGTGATTTCGGTGTTTCCACTTCCCGCAGCAGCTTCAAGCAGCGAACCTGCACAGTCGCTCAATTCTACAGGGCGCACCAATCGCTTGTGTAGCCACTTCAAAGCATCCAGCTTGCTTCCGCGAGCCGCGGAGACCATTGCTGGCTTGATGCAGACACCACGCTTATCATACACCAGCACTTGCTCCAGGATATTCAGATGTCCTACAGTCGCCGCAGCTTCGACGGCCTTAAAGATGCCACTGCGACTGTCAACGGTAAACCGCTCTGATACAATATTCCCCAGAAGCCATCGCACCAGCTTCGTGTTCCCACGCTGAGCAGCATTCACCAATCCAACCGAAAGCTGAGCTTGTCGATAGAACGTGTCCATGTCTTCCAGCGGCCACCGAGCGACCAGTCGAGCAACAAGTCGACGCGCACCGCCGTCGTCACTGCACATATTATGACTTTCGAGAGCACATGCGCGAGCAATATTCCACTGCCAAGATATGTCTACAAGATCGTCCAGGGCGTACATAACATGCTGCAAGGCTGCAACTCGCGGCTGTTCATGCAGTATAACAGCAAGTCCTGCTGTCAGTGTCGCCTCTCGCTCAGCAATGCTAGTCTTTGAAGTACGACGGGACAAGGATGTCATTCTTCTGTCAGCGCACGAGTAGTTATCACTATTGACGGGGTAAAAAAAAACTGAGCTTTCTCCATGAAGCCAGCAAACGGACCAAGATTGCTCGACACTCGCATAGTCGTTTCGTTACTTGGTGCACAACTGCCGAAAACGGACCAACGCTAAGTCTTCGTCGTACAGCTAAACAGACTTGATGGATTTCGATTTTCCAACAACGCGCTGTCTTCCTTCCCTCGAGTTAAGCAAGGTGGCGTATCCTGACGTGACGTCGGGGAGCTGGTGCGTTTGAGTAGTGCTCACTAAGCCAAGCCAAAATATGAACGTGCTTCTTTCGTTGCGCTCCAAACGCCGCGTCGCTAGTGCAGCCCTCCAGTCGCTGAGATCGCAAGAACAGCAGCACTTCGAAATGCCCACCTGACGCAGCCGCATCCATCGCTTTTGTTGTGCATCCTTCGCGGCGATTTTGATGGAGCCACTGAACGATCTTCAGCAATCCAGCACCCGCCGCATTGTTCATCGCATCAGTCGAGCACCCTTCTGTTCGATTCAAATGCAGCCACTGTAGTACTCCAAAGGCACCAGACCCGGCGGCGCCATCCATTGCTGCAGTGGTGCAACCTTCGCTGCGATGTTCATGAAGCCATTTTACAACAGCCAAATGACCGTTTCTTGCCGCACCATCCATAGCGGCGGTTGTACACCCCTCTACGCGATGCTCGTGAAGCCATTGGACCATTTCTAAGAGCCCGTTAGTCGCAGCGCCATCCATGGCAGCAGTTGTGCAGCCTCCCGATCGATGACAACAGAGCCACTTGACAACTTTTAAGTGATTTCTTGCAGCAGCACCATCCATCGCGTCATGTGTGTCTGTGGGCCGGCATCCTGCGAACCCTTCTTCAGCCAAACGCTCGTCGACCTTCTGAAGATACTTAAGAATATCTAAATGTCCACCTTTCGCAGCCGCATCTATCGCGGTGCTAGGCTCATCGGCTAGCAAAGTCAGCGAATACGGGCGTAAGTCTCTGTACAGATTTCTTTGCGGTTCGCTGGCAAACGAATTGTTCAACCACTTGACGACATCAAGAAAACCTCGACCCGCCGCACGAAGCATAGTTCCGCTGGAAACACTGGCAAGGCCATCAAAACTCTGCTCGAGCAGGTATTGAGCAACCTCGAGGTGTCCTCGAATAGCAGCCTGATGCATGCCAGACTTCGCGCCACGGCCAAGGTTGTGCTCCAGAAGCCAGCGCACTACATGCAGGTGGTTCTCCCTTGCTGCAGCATCTAATGCTCGACTTGCGTTGCCAACTGGGTGGTAGCGCATCAACCATTCCACAATCTCCAAGTGACCATTGCGAGCGGCGTGTTCTAGAGCAAAACTGGCGTGATGAACATACCCGTGACGATAGAGCCACTGCAGCATGTCTATATGGCCACCCCACGCAGCGTCATCCATTGTAGGAGGTGCTAATTGGCGCTCTGTATAGCCACGGTCAAGCAGCCATTGTAATAATTCCAGACTCCCGCTACGACCCACAGCAGCCATAAAGCGCCCCCAGTCTCGCTCCACGCCACCTTTCTGCTCGAATAGCCATCGCGCAACGTCCGGGTAACCTTTCTCCACTGCAGCTGCCATGTCTGCGCCGCCCCATTGGATTTCGTTGCTGTCGTTAATCTCCGCTCCTTCTTGAGCGTCTTGAAAAGCGCGTTCGTTGTGCAAGAAAAATTCTAATAGACACAGATTACCAGCAGCGGCAGCAGCTTCGACGGCTTGCACTTCCACCACGCAACCAGAGAACTGGGCGAAAAGCCATCGAATCATGTCCAAATCCCCGTGATGTACAGCTTCAATGACCGCCTGGGAGAATTGCCCACGGTGGCAGTGGCGGTCGGTCCGAAGGTACTGCAGCGGAGACCAGCAGAAGTAAAGATCGTGTTTTGAAGTGTCTCCGTTAAGCGCCGCATATTTTTCGCTGCCATCCCAGATGCGACGCAGAAGTCGCAACGAGCCGAGGGTGCAGGCCCGTGCGAGAGAGATCACTACGGAGCAGTCTAAATACTGAGACACAGAGGAAACGACGTGGGGCAGCGCGCCTACAGATGGATTGCTACGTAGTACCACAATACAGGACGCGAGGGGAGTTTCACGCAGAAGTTGGATTAATAACATTTGCCCTTATGTTACTTTGGAGAAATAATACTACTACTTTTGAAAACATACTACTATTAATACCGTGTTTTCTGCTATTTCATTTTTAATCTCGCCCGGATCATTTATATAGTAGTATTTTAATAACTATAAGTAAATATTACTAGGTTTTAAAAGTAGTGTAAATGAGTATAGCAGCTAAGTATTTTACCACTACTAAATTTAAATTTTACTACTAGTATTAAAAAGTACTAAATTGCTACTCTTTTAAAATATTTCAGCTATAACAAATTTAATTTATGTAATTTAATTTTTTATTATAATTATCACCGCTAAAAAAAACCTCAACTGCGGCTAAATCGTAATAAAACAAAAGCACACAGTTTACATGCAAATTATAGAGTGTTCTGGACGAACTCAGCCCACGTCGCTCCGAAGCGCTTTAGAATGACTTGAGCCACACGCTCTCTCGATCGCTGACGAGTCACGATGCCTCCCGCACACGACTAACTGGCCGCTTTGGGAAATGACGATGTTCTCGTAAATCTCGAGAAAGAGAAGATCCGGGTCCACTTCGGTGTCAAGTCGATTTTATCGCAGAGTGGTTTGCTGCATTAGCAGAATTTGGCGTATGTCGACCTCCAGAACTTCAAGAAGCGACCAAACTACGGCGTACAGTCTTGAGAAAATGGCGGGGATTTCTCCGTGGCTGTGAGCTTGGAAACGAATCTCGGCCCAGACGTTACCCATAACAGCTTGTTGCTCGGTGAAAGCTGTCTGCAACTTCTCGAAGTAGCCGTTGGAGAGGCGAAGAAGCTCCATTTTTCGAGATTGGTCCAGATGTTCTGGTTTGACAGTCGACTTAGAGGCGTGCGCCGCTTTCGAGTACACCAGACACTTCTTCATCGTCGAATATAATTACTCCCTGAATGCATAATGTGGCGCTACAATCGCTGTGTGCTCGCTCTAATTTACTCCCAGGTTTCAACACGTCAAGGGTCAATACTTATCCGTCTTTCCGATATAAGTGCCCAAATACTTGCTCTGGTTCATGTTTCAATCCATAACAACATTAGCGCATAGTACCCCAATCCTTGCGTCGTATCGTAATCCAATATCCGCGAACGGTCTAAACCGGATGTACGATGGGCGATCGCACGACTTGTATCAGTAACAGAGGGAAATCATTCTCACGATGACGGTGTATATAAGACGGATCACCGAACGTTTTTCGCACGTAGTACAAGTCAACACACCGTTGGCACGTCCAATTTGTTTAGCTTCCGTAGCAATGTCGGTAGCGGCAAATAAACGAAATTGACTTTGTACCGCATCCGGATGGTTCATTCGAACATGATACGACCATTGCATCATCGAAGTGAACGCCTTAGGTCACAATTTGTACTTTCTCATGGTCGCACTGCTGTAAGCGCTAAGTCTTCCATCAATGCGTAGTGAGTCGCAGCTACCGCTGTGGGTTAGCTCTCACTGAATCCCAGCTTTCAACACGTCAAGTGTCAATGCATATCCTTGTTTCCGAGATAAGTGGCTGAATACGCTAACGTTCCTAACACTGGATGTACGACGGGCGATCGCACGACTCGTATCCGTAACAAAGGCAAATTATTCTCACGATGACGGTGCACATCAGACGGATCACCGAACGTTTTTTCGCACGTAGTCCAAGTCAACACACAGCTGGCACGTCCAATTGCTTGGCCTCCGATAGCAATGTCGGTAGCGGCAAATAAACGAAATTGACTTTGTACCGCGTCCGGATGGTTCATTCGAACATGATACGACCATTGCATCATCGAAGTGAACGCCTTAGGTCACAATTTGTACTTTCTCATGGACGCACTGCTGTAAGCGCTAAGTCTTCCATCAATGCGTAGTGAGTCGCAGCTACCGCTGTGGGTTAGCTCTCACTGAATCCCAGCTTTCAACACGTCAAGTGTCAATGCATATCCGTGTTTCCGAGAAGAGTGGCTGAATACGCTAACGTTCCTAACACTGGATGTACGACGGGCGATCGCACGACTCGTATCCGTAACAAAGGCAAATTATTCTCTCGATGACGGTGCACATCAGACGGATCACCGAACGTTTTTTCGCACGTAGTCCAAGTCAACACACCGCTGGCACGTCCAATTGTTTGGCCTCCCATAGCAATGTCGGTAGCGGCAAATAAACGAAATTGACTTTGTACCGCGTCCGGATGGTTCATTCGAACATGATACGACCATTGCATCATCGAAGTGAACGCCTTAGGTCACAATTTGTACTTTCTCATGGACGCACTGCTGTAAGCGCTAAGTCTTCCATCAATGCGTAGTGAGTCGCAGCTACCGCTATGGATTAGCTCTCACTGAATCCCAGCTTTCAACACGTCAAGTGTCAATGCATATCCTTGTTTCCGAGACAAGTGGCTGAATACGCTAACGTTCCTAACACTGGATGTACGACGGGCGATCGCACGACTCGTATCCGTAACAAAGGCAAATTATTCTCTCGATGACGGTGCACATCAGACGGATCACCGAACTTTTTTTCGCACGTAGTCCAAGTCAACACACAGCTGGCACGTCCAATTGCTTGGCCTCCGATAGCAATGTCGGTAGCGGCAAATAAACGAAATTGACTTTGTACCGCATCCGGATGGTTATTCGAACATGATACGACCATTGCATCATCGAAGTGAACGCCTTAGGTCACAATTTGTACTTTCTCATGGTCGCACTGCTGTAAGCGCTAAGTCTTCCATCAATGCGTAGTGAGTCGCAGCTACCGCTGTGGGTTAGCTCTCACTGAATCCCAGCTTTCAACACGTCAAGTGTCAATGCATATCCTTGTTTCCGAGATAAGTGGCTGAATACGCTAACGTTCCTAACACTGGATGTACGACGGGCGATCGCACGACTCGTATCCGTTACAAAGGAAAATTATTCTCACGATGACGGTGCACATCAGACGGATCACCGAGCGTTTTTTCGCACGTAGTCCAAGTCAACACACAGCTGGCACGTCCAATTGCTTGGCCTCCGATAGCAATGTCGGTAGCGGCAAATAAACGGAATTGACTTTGTACCGCATCCGGATGGTTATTCGAACATGATACGACCATTGCATCATCGAAGTGAACGCCTTAGGTCACAATTTGTACTTTCTCATGGACGCACTGCTGTAAGCGCTAAGTCTTCCAACAATGCGTAGTGAGTCGCAGCTACCGCTGTGGGTTAGCTCTCACTGAATCCCAGCTTTCAACACGTCAAGTGTCAATGCATATCCTTGTTTCCGAGATAAGTGGCTGAATACGCTAACGTTCCTAACACTGGATGTACGACGGGCGATCGCACGACTCGTATCCGTTACAAAGGAAAATTATTCTCACGATGACGGTGCACATCAGACGGATCACCGAACTTTTTTTCGCACGTAGTCCAAGTCAACACACAGCTGGCACGTCCAATTGCTTGGCCTCCGATAGCAATGTCGTCAGCGGCAAATAAACGAAATTGACTTTGTACCGCATCCGGATGGATTATTCATTCGATGACGGTGCACATCAGACGGATCACCGAACGTTTTCTCGCACG